AGTACATCCCCGCTGCCTATCTCTAAAATTGAAGATCTCTAAAAGGTACCGTCGTATCCTTTGGGGGAGGTGTCTCTCTGGCCGTGAACTTTGGGGGCGATGGCCCTCTTCCCGTACGCCGGGTGGTTGCCGGTGGCGTCGAAGGCGCTGTAGTCGAAGCTGGTCTTGGAGTACTTCTCCAGCTCCTTGGCCAGGTTTGAGCGGGGCGTGCTGGTGGAGACATTGTTCTTGTAACCATACTGTGGATAGTCCAGTTGTTTGACAAAGCACATAGGCCTGGAAAATAAATGACGAGGGGGTGGAGGTTGGACCGAGGCACTGAACATTGCCCAGGAGGAAAGGGGGGTGGGGGAGGGAAACTTGGGGTTTGGTTAAAAAATGTTTGGAGGGAAAAGGGGAAGGTGAACACATGCTGCTGGAAGATGGGGACGTTATGGAACGTGCAGGTCTTCCCTTTTTCACAGGCTCTTCCTCTAAAGAAAAACATCACCCGGCTTTCAATGTTTTTGCTGCATATTCAATAAAAACGGGCCAAATTGAATTTACGCATTTCTTTCATGACTCCTGATATGTATTCATTATTTGAGAGGCATTTGCAGCCTTTAACACCAGAAAGAGAGCGCCGCTGACGCTCTGTTTGATGTGAATATGAAATTCACAATTTGCAACGACTTCTCATCACAGCCTTTTCACAATTATCAAAGAAACGCGTTCAGAACGCGCCGACTTTGCAACGATAAAGGGGCCTTGTGTTGTTTCAATCTTATGAAAGTAATTTGCCTTGAATGGTGGGCAGAGAGATGAACATGCAAGCTGTTGGATGAATTCTCAGGGGATGATGAAACATGTAACACGCAATGGAAAGATGTCAAATCTCAATTACAGGGAAAAAAGTATAAAACCTTCCAACATGACAAGGGTCTTGCTGCATGTTAACTATGGTATGTTGTCATATCGTTTAAAACGTCTGGAACGTGTGGGATACCTTAGAACTCGATCGGAGGCCTGGTTGGACTTGGACCCGTCGCAGCTCTGGTGCTTCTCCTGGGCTTTGGCCAGCTTTTCGGCAGCAGCGATGGGACATCCCGACAGACTGAAACGAGAAAAAAAGGGGACATGCATGACGCCGTGCGGGGCGAAGGCGTTACGCTGAGTGCTGGGAAACGTTCGGCTTGTTAGGGCTCCTGTCAGACGCTGAAAACGGCGGCTGCACATCTGCCCGTCAGCCGGTGGAACCCGTCTGAAAGCAACTCTCTACAGTTCACAAAGTCTGCTTAAAATGCAAATTCATTAATTTTCATCACTTGCAACACTTTGGATAACAACGCGGTTGGAAACAGCTTGCATGTTTCTGGTTGAACGGCTTAAAATAACTCAGAATAGGTATTCCCATATGGACAAATGTACATTTTTCCTGCACGTTCTGCAGCTCGTTTCCTTCAAACACCAACTGACACATATTACTCTGGAGCTGTATCATCTACAGCCTTCTATTTTTTCATTTTCTTGCTGCCAGGAATTCTCTCTGTCTCATAAAGTTATCTCAAACAGTGGCTGGCCATACTTTCTGAATAACTGATATTTTCTTCGGACACTGGCTGCTTTTTTTTTCCACTCATTCTCATTATTTTAGACTATTTTCTGGGGAAGGTTGTTTTTTTTGTTGTTTGTTTGTTTCCCAAGCCACTGAGCGCTGACCTGTGACCTTACTGAAGCAGTCTTGTGTCACATTTTCAATTGTATCTTTTATTTTCAAGGAGCCAGTCACAGAGACACGTCGTTCGGTTGAACTTTTGAGCCGACAGAGCTATTAGCTGAAAACTTTGCTATGTGTCCTTTTGATGAATCGAGGAAACTGAAGGACAGAAGAGGATGAGCACGCCTAAAAAAAAACTATCAGCAGCAGATGAAAAGTGTCTGAAAGTGATGTCCTTAAGAAATAGAAATACATCCGGAAAAGACCAGAGACAGGACCTCAGAGATGTCTCTGGATACACGAGAAGTGGACGGAGAATCAGTGGCAGCAGGTCTGATGGGGGGATGAATCCTCCCCACATTACTCCACAATACTGAAACAGTGCGGGATCATCTAACAGAGAGTGGGACAAAAGGCAGCCCACATCCAAAAACAGGCTTTGGGACGTCCTTCAAGAAGCTTGGAGAGCAGTTTATGAAGAAAACTTCTCTATGATGGCTCAGGCTGTAAAAGAGCTCATATCAAATATCAAATATTGACTCTCAGACTCATGAGAAGTCTTCTTTTTTGCCTTTCATATTGTTTTGCCATCACAAATCTGTTCAAATTTTAAAAAACAGCTACCGGTAAATACAATTTCACTGTGTAATGATAAACAATAAAAGACTTTATCATCTTAAGCAGATATCATCTTTAAATTCTTGTATAATATATGAGGAAATGTAGGCTGGATCTAGAGTGTCACGTGGTACGTCGTATTTCCAGAGAATTTAGTTTCCCAGTGACACATAAACTGATCAAATTCATCAGTTATTTTAGGTTTTCTTAATCGTTCTGTAGTAGATCAGGCCAGTGGGCAGCTGCCATAGTGGCTGCGTGCAGGGTTCAGAGGTGTGAGGCCCCGCGTGGAGGCTTCTCTCAGCTCTTTTGGGCAGAGGTGGAGCTTTACTCCCGTCACCCCGGCTGAGTGGCAGCGAGGTGCTAATGGCTGCGGCTAGGCCCGACTCCCTGAGCATCTGCTGCGGGTGACACTCCTTTTTTCACCGTCTGACAACAGCTATTTCAGGCCCCCACCTCCGAAAACGGCACCTGATGGATGTCAGTTTTTCGCCGCGAGCTGATGAATGATTTATGCCGCGGAGGGTGTGAATCGCGGCATTCTAATCAGCCTCGGTTAAATTATGATTGCGAACTAGCTGAAGGGGTTTTGATTGTTTCCCGCAAGCCAAAATCCACTCCAAAAAAAAAAAAAAAAAAGAAGAATGCATTGCAAAAGGAATGGGTCTAATCGGATTTAAAAGCAAGAACACGACAAGAGACAAAAATAACGGATGTGGGGAAAAACAATGGCCTCAAAAAAAAGAAAAAAAGGATGGTCCAAATGAATCCCAAAATGGTTCGAAAGTAAACACAAGGGGGTCAAAATGGTTGACGAGGGCTGAGAGCTTACCTTCTGTGGGAGTTTCTGTTGCTATTGACATGGCCGCGTCCTGTGCAGCCAGGCGTAGGACACTTAAGAACATTCTCATACATTGCCACAACTTCGCACAGACAGGAGATAGGAGTGAAAGACAGGGAAGGTTAGGAACCCCTTACAATCACGCATGAACACTATTAGTGTGTGAGGATCCTGGCATTATAAACATCATTAAGAAAAGAACCCAAATGACCTCTTCTTCATTTTAATGAACACTAGTTTGAAAGGGCAGGCAGAGTTTGCCACCATATTGCTTCCACTTATCCCGCTCTTTCAAATTAGTATTCATGGAACGGGGGACGTTCATGAATAAAAAGATGTCATTTAAGTTTGACAGGGGTTTGGAGGGAAATTTTTTGTCATGCAAACAGCTTGCAATCATGCAAAAAAAACCAAGCCTTAAAAATCAATGGTGGAGGCAGACAGATGGGAAGCAGCTCCTTGATAGAGTGTGCTTTGTTATCATCCGCACTCTTTTAGGACAGAGAGTGCCGTCCTCCATGCCGTTTACCATTAAAACAGTCCATAACTGTCTCAGATCCCCTCGGCAACCGGCCAATTAGATTAATGATCTATGGATGTCCTAGCTGTGTCTATAACGAAGGCGTTCGGAGGGGGGGGGGTCATCTGGATGGTGGTGGCGTCTGGGGCCGAACCCCATCGGCATCAGCTTCATCATTATCGCCCCCTTAACCTTTGACCCCTCATCATCCTCCTTCCCGTATACACTAATTGGTGTTCGGCGCAGGTAATTGGACAAAGCCCTCCACCTCGACTCGCCACAAGCCAACACAGGACCCAGTTTTTCTCTGCCCTCGGCAAAAGGACACAGAGCAGAACAGAACAGAGAAAAGCCGAATGGAGGAGAACCCGACAGGACAAAGCAGACATCCACGCAAAGAGCCCACATCCCCGCGTGGCAAGTCTTTTATTTGCTGTTTGATAAAGGCTTTTTCTCATTTTGCCACAAGTGAGTTACAAAAAAAAAAAAAAAAAGGCTCAATATTTGACATGTGGGCTTTTTTCTTTTTTTTTTTCTTTTTTATCCAGAGATTCACAAAGCAATTTGTTTGCTCCTGGTGAGTCACCGGCAGAATTTCCACGCACGTGTTTCCTGCACCGGGAATGCAGCGAGAGAATAGAGAGATATGGACTAGACTGAGTTGTTGAGGGAAAATGTGCTGAAGTTTGGACTGAAAGGAAAACAGACCTTTTTACCCCATCCTATCCACCCTATCCCAGATCCATATGACAGCTTTTCCACCAGATTTTCCTTTCCTGATCAACTTCTTTGGCCAATTTAATCTAAAGCTATGGAACACACTCCCATGACAGGGACTTTTTTAAATTCATCGGGCCATCTCATGATATATTTCTCATTGTATATTTTTACAAGTGAGCTGTGATTTTTTTTACTGGATAAATGTCTGGATACACTTAAATTGTCTATTGTATTATTTAACTTCTGTGTAGTTAATGATATAAAAAGCACTCGTTGTATTGAGACAATATCTATTTTCTATGGAAAAGAGCCTCGGTAAGCAAACAGGAAGTGGAATAAATGAATTTGAAATTTAATTTAATTGTAATTTTTCACATGGATGAGTCTGGCTGCAGAGTTTGATTTCCTAATTACATGAAGTCATTACAGTAATAATACATTGTCCATTCAGCAGAGAAAATGTGTTAATAAATTAGCGAGTGGGGGGGAAGGGTTAGAGTCACATTTATGGTAAATATTCTCATTTATGCTTGCAAAAAAGATGGCTATTATGCTAAGACTTCGAGAAAATGTGTTCCATGGACAAGCGGTTATGTAGAAAAACTCCAAATAATGAAACTTTAGGGATTCAGAGTATCACAGAATTAGTGGCACTTCCCCTAAAAGCAAGCCTGAACACAGACATCGTATCCTAAAAGCTCCAGTGACAATCAATTCAACACCATCCCGCTCCATTTTAGGGATGACGAGGTCAACTTTTCCGAGCCATTTCCACATTCCTGGTAGACGAGCACCTATCGGGATATGGAGCTCTTTTTGTGGGCGGGAAGAAGAGTCCTCTGTGGCCCCGCTGGTCTTTACAAGCCCGCCTTTAATCGGAACTAATTTCTTTGCCATTGTTAAACGCGTTTCTTATTTTGACGGCGGTCCGGGTCACGGCAGATCATAACTTGATTTCCACACTGCAGTTAATGAAAAATGTAAACGAGCTTTTATGGAGAAGGTGGCGGAGGTGAGCGAGACTAAATAGCTGGACTGAATACTCTGACGGGGAAAAAATCCCCTTTTCATTCAGGGCTAATGTTTATCGCCACCTCACTTGATCTGAGAGACTGCCTTTCTATTGAATAGAATTTAATTGAGGAAGGAATGCAAAATAAATGAGCAGGGATTGTGGCGTGGATGACTGAAGCACACTCAGTTTTATGAGAGTCTGTAAACACTTCCAGGTTTCTTGAAATATGAGGACTTATCAAATTCAAAAACGAAAGAACAACAAGGTATTTTATTCTTTTTGTTTCAGTCATACATGCACTGAGATACCGAGCAGAAGCATGCAACCCAGACAGAATGAGCCCCACGATGACACAACAGTGAATGGGATTCTGATTATCATATTCACCCGTCAGTGACGGGGGGTTTCATGCAGTCAAGTAAATCCACACCTCATCCCCCTGTCACTGTATGACCCAAACACCACTTTCCCCCTCATCACCACGGCACAGTAAGCAGGCAACCAGAGAGCAAAAAAACCACCACTGCCCCGTGCAAAAGGTCACAGGAGAAACCTGACCCCTGGCCGAGGCCTCACAACAACAAAACGCACAACACACACACACACACACACAGACAACATGCTTTTTTCCCGGACACCAGGGGGGGGTTTGAACACCGGTGTTAAGCAGCTGAATAGACGATAGACTCACTTTCAGGCGGGACCCTGTCTTTGTGCGGGCAGCCGGACAGGCTGCGGTGGTGCGGGTACAGGCCGGTCACATGACCCGTACCGTCGCAGCCCGGAGTGGGACACCGGCTCTCCTTCTTGTCCGCGCGGGAAGCATCTGTGAGCGGATACAAACAGGTATGTGATCGTTAGACTGCTGATTTCCGACGCCATTGTGGCGCGTTAGGGGCAGACACACAGATCAAGCTACATTTCAAACAAACTTTTATTATCAATGGACTAACAAAGAACTAAAAGTTTCATTACGTTGTCGGCAGACTGGTGAAAAATTGACACGTCTCTGCTTACAAGCTCCCCTAAGGGAGTAAAACAGACTTAATAGAATCTTTTTCTAGTTGAATTCCACCAAAAAAGAATGTCACCTCCTTTAATCGAAAATGAAAAAACTGGATATGCTAGCAAATGAATTTAGCAGTAGATGGCTTAATCTTTATTAAAAGTACAGCTACCCTAATTAGGAGAAAAAAATAGCTTGTAAATATCCAGATAAAAAATCTCCTCTTAGTTGAAATTCTTTTGACCACCATTGTTTTTAATGTAGACGGAAATGTAATTTAAATAAATTACTGTAGCAATTTAGCAAAAAATATTAAATAAAAGTTCAAATGCACACATGTAAAAAAATATAATAAATAAATATAGCATACAATATTATGCTGTAGATTTAACATTTAGTGTATATCCTTTTGCTAAACCAGATTTTTTTAAATTAGTTAAATTAATTTGAAAGAATAGCAAGCTAGTTGTTGTTATGCTAATGCTAAGTGCTATTGAACTAAACTTGTTTGTGAGGTAGTGACATGAGCTCTGTTTTTTATATGTAATAAAACGCTAATATTTCACTATGTTTCGCTCAAATATTTTTAACTGGCTTCCCAGTAGCTTTTATAACTCCCAAAAACCAGCGTGGCGCTTAATATCCAGCACATGGATACTGACACGGTCTGGGGAAGATGGTTGTTGAGCCTAAATCAACCCTAACACCATTTTTTGCCTTGTTAAGTTTTCCGAATCATCACACTTGCAACCCGTCCTCGACTTCCCTGACTTTTAAAACCAAACAAGTGTGGAGATAAGTGTATTTTTATAATTGCAAGCCTGTACTTATTTGGACAAGTAAATTTAAAACCAAAAGGATAAAGATAAAGAAGTAATTGCAGTGGTGACAGTGCCTATGTTTTTTCTTTTTGGAGGTCACTACAAGCTAATTATTTTATTTTGTTTTGTGATTGTGGCTTTCTGCACAAAGCTGCTCATCTTCTAGTTTAGGTTTAGTTAAAATAGTTAAATCCTTTTCCATATTTGAACCACTTCAAGCTACACCTGAGGTTTGTCAAGTTGATACTGAGGGTCTACAGAAAGCACACGCACTTTATAAAGCACTCAACATACTCAGATTGTCTTTCCCTCCTAAAAATATGGCTCTCCTATTTCTGCCAAACCCAGACCAGATATGGTTACCACCAAAAAGTACAGAACCCAAACTGTGCCAACAGGCATTGTTTCTGGAAATGCAACCATACACCTTTAATACACTTTGACCCTCGAACAATGTCAAGTATTTATATTCTCCTAAACATGAAATGTGATGAAACTTTAACCGTTATTATCGTTCATGGTTGATAATGAGGTGTGGTTCCGAGCGTTTCTGGTAGCAGCGTGAATCTGAGTGACTGTACTGTGAGAGGCTTTTATCTCACACCGCAGACAGACACACCGCTGATTAAAGTTTCAAAAGGCCTGTAAAACTTAGCAGGCACCAACAAGGCGAACCAAAATAAACCGCTTTAGCCGGGTAGCGAGTTCGACTTAAAAAAAATAAATCGAGCGAAGTGGGTGGGAAGGTGCGGGAAATACTAATGGAGAGGTAGCAGCAGGCACACCTAATCATACATTTACAAATGAGTCACCAAACCAAATTCCATGTCTCGTTCATCAGGGGGAAAAAAAGGGCCCTCATTATTCTCAGTGGCTGTCATCCATCTATGTCACATTAGGGCCCCCGCGAGTTCGGTACAATATTGCTATGTCATGTCTGGCTCTTCTGTCTGGCTCCACGGCAATCGGGGCCGGGAAATATCACGCTGATAGGGAGCTTGGTCTGCATGTAAAACTGGGCTCTTTGGTAATGGCTCCTTTTTGAGGCACATCATTACATTCGCCGTTAATGTTCCGACGGTATGTTTGGAATAATTCTCCATTTCCGCCAGTGCACGTGCGCAGACGTGATGCCCCGTGCGTTCCTGCCCGCAACGCCTCCATTGTGGAGAGCGGAGGCAGCCAAGTGGAAGGCATATTAGAAAGCAGGGGGATATTGATTGTGGCTGGGGACGGTCTGCGCTTTGCATAGCAAATGGCCCCCATTACCATACCATCTCTGGATAATTAATGTGCAGTCAGTGGGCCTGTCGTTCGTTATCGGTCATTCTGATACTGTTCAATTTTCATCTCAACCTCATGCTTCACTTAGGGAGCAGGGCTTCTCTCTCTGACCCCCCCCCCCCCTCCCCTCCACTCCCCTGCCATGCTCTGTTTTATAAATCATACACAAGAACCTTGGTCAACGAGTGTCTGCTGCTATCTCGCCTGAGGAGAGATGCTATCGCCATGCAACTGTCTTGCATCCTCTCATTATTCCAACATTATCCAGACACAAAGGCCACGGAAGGCTCTTGAAATTAGCATTTGTGTGGCATTTAAGTAGCAATATAAACCTGCTGTGAGTTGCGTGGCATTTGAGGTGTAATATCTCCCCGCTGTGAATAGGCACGCTCTTATTTGTTGTTTTGATCTGATATCTTCCTTATGGAAGGAAACTATTCAACCTAGTTTAGCTTGTACGATATTGCAATAAACGATGAAAGGAACTATTCAAAGTTAAACAAAGGGGGGGCTTGCAATCAGACCACATAAAAAACGACAATTACAAGCGGTGCTGACATGTATTTATCTTTCTGGAGTAAAAATGGGTCCTTTTGAACGGCAGAAGGCCTCTGTTCGGTAGTGTCTTTTCCCAAGTGTTTGCGCAGGTTTAAAAATAGGCAGCTTTACCCCAAGCTGCATCACAGGGATGAGATTTGCGGTCCTAACAGGCCGTGCAGATTGCCATTACTTATGCCTGACAAGCCTACCCTCTGATGTTGCCATGCTGGCCTATTTTAACAACATAAGCTGCTGCTGCCGCTCACGCTGCTACCCAGATGCGAATTTCCAAATTGGCTGAAAAAGCTTGTCCTGGGGGGGGTTATAGCGAGGTTCCCAGAATGCATGTGGGCCGTCTAGTCTCCGAATGAAACGCAGAGCCGAGCGCTGACGGACAAACATTTTACCTGAGCTTGTCAAATAAGGTAAACACGTCTCCCCATCGTGTGTGTGTGGACTAGAGGATAACACGGGAGTGGATTTTCACTCCTGTCCCGTCCCACTCACAGACCAAAGTTTAAAAAATAATCCCATCCCATCCCGCCCCTGTTTAAACTGACTCCCGCTCCTGTACCGATCCCATATATTTTTTTTCTTCAATTAGTATTTAGTCTTACAAGCAGCGTACATCGTGCTAGCACCGTCACATTCTACTCTCATAAACTTATAGAATATTTCAGACTGTCCGACCAGTTCTGTGAACCTAATAGACATGTCATTACTTCTGACTTTGCGCTGTAAATAACTTTTTTAGCTCCCTCCATCACTGCTCTTTGAATTCCGGCGGTAAGCCGTGACAAAAAGCCCTGATGGCTTCTGGGACGGCTGGGTCATGTAGGCATATTGAAAGGAAACTACAAAATGGTGCATTTATTTTTTTTTTTTTTCCTCTTTGCTATTGGTTGATTCCCGCTCCCGTCTGCTCCCGTTAACCATTTATCCCGTACCGTCCAAATCCCGTGATTAATGGCGAAGATGACTCCCATCCTGCAGGAATCCCACGGGAATCCCGTGACCCGTGGGATTCCCGAAAAAATGTCGGCCTCTAGTGTGGACACGGTTGAAATAACCGCTCACCTTTGTGGAAGAAAGGCTTCTTCATGCCGTCGGGAAGCCGGGCTTTCCGCTCCACGCCGTATCCGTGCCGGGGCCCGTGGTCGTCGTGGGTGTACCTCATCCCGTCCCTCCGGGCGGCCTCGGCGGCCATCTTGTCCCGCATGGCCTTGGCCCGCTCCGACTCCAGCGCGATGGCCTTCTCCAGCAGGGACAGGTTGCCCTTGGTCATGTCGAACACCTCCTCCGACCGGTCCGACGCCACGGACGCCGTGTCCTCGTCGAAGTCCCGGTGGCCCGGGTGGTAGCGCCCGTCCTGCGCGCAGCTGGAGAAGGCCTTGGAGCGCGGGCTCAGCTGCTCCTCCAGCTTCAGCAGGTTGTCCATGTCCGAGTAGTTCCTGTCAAGCGTCCGTCTGTCGTCCTGGCTACCGTGGTAATCCCCGTAGCCCAGGTGCTGGGGCTGCTGATTGGGGTCCCCGCAGGGGAAGTGATTCTGCTGGGAAGGTCCGTTCCTGTCGGTGGACTTGGTCTCGCTCAGTTTCCGGGCCAGGTCGAAGCACTGGTTCCTCAGGCACTCCAGGCTGCTCAGGCAGACCTCCTCGTCGCTGTTGTCCATTTGCCCGTTGCCACTCTTAAAGGGTCCGTTGCCGCCGTGGTGTCCGTTGTGGGAACAGTCCGGGTCGTTGGCGGCCATGTTGTCCTCGAACTCCTGCCCGTCCAGGCTGTCGGACAGAACCGCCCCGTGACCCTGAGCCAGCAGTTTGAGGGAATCCACCGTTTCCCGGACGACGTCGCTGTCCACATCCAAACTCAGGTCTCCCCTCGGGGTATCGTCCCCTTCCCCCTCCTCGTATTCCTCCTCCTCCTCCTCCTCCTCTTCCTCCTCCTCCTCCTCCTCTTCGTCCTCCTCCTCCTCTTCGTCCTCCTCCTCCTCCCCCTCGTCCTCCGCGCTGTTGGAGGAGTTGCTGTTCATCTCGGATTCCGTCATGGCCCGGTTGGCGGCGTCCTCCGCGATCTTCCCCAGGTTGAGGAGGGACTTGGCCACCAGCTCGTCGTAGTTTTCGTACTCGTCGTTGTTGTTGTCGTCCTTCTCCGATATCGGCCCGGATTTGGTGCTGCCACCACC